ACCGACACCCAAGAAGAGGAAGCTCGCCCCGCGAAACGCAAGCTCCTCGCCCCCGGCGCATCATCATCGTCCGGCGCACCCAAACCACCGAACATGAAACCGCTCAACAAGAGCTCTATATTCGCGGACGCCTCCGACGAAGAAGAAGGAGAAGCAACAAACACCCCCACCTACGGCCTCAACCCCTCCACGAGCAGCAAACCCAAACCCAAGTCCAAAGACATCGACACCACAAAACCCTACACGAACCTATCCGCCCTCCACAGCAGCCGAAAACACGCGGCCGAAGCCTCCGAACTCGACCCTACGATCTACTCCTACGACGCGGTGTACGACAGCCTACATGCGAAACCGAACAAGGACAAGAAGGCCTCGGATAGTGAGAGCGGCTCGACCGTGCCGAAATACATGACGTCGTTGCTGCGCAGCGCGGAGATCCGCAAACGGGATCAAATGCGAGCGCGGGATCGTCTGCTCGCGAAGGAGCGCGAAGCCGAGGGCGACGAGTTCGCGGACAAGGAGAAGTTCGTGACGGCGGCGTATAAGGCGCAGCAGGAGGAATTGCGGCGGGTGCAGGCGGAGGAAGAGGCGCGGGAGAAGGAGGAGGAGGAGAGACGGAAGAAGAATGGGGGGTCTGGGATGGTGGACTTTTATCGGGATATGTTGTCGCGTGGGGAGGAGAGGCATGAGGCTGTTGTGAAGGCGGCGGAGGAGGCGGCGAAGAAGGTGAAGGAGGGTGGTGTGGGTGAGGAGGAAGGGGAGGAGAAGAAGGAGAAGAGTGAGGCGCAGATGGCGGAGGAGTTGAATGCCAAGGGGGCGCATATTGCGGTTAATGATGAGGGACAGGTGGTGGATAAGAGGCAGTTGTTGTCGGCGGGGTTGAATGTTGCACCGAAGCCGAAGCAGACCCAGAAGGAGAGGGATGCGGCGGCTGCGGCGGCATCGAGGGCTGCGGTGCAGGCTTCAAGGTTTGGGGCGCAGAAGCAGGCCGAACGGGGTGGGCAGCGTGCGCGCCAGACGGAGATGATTGCGTCACAGTTGGAGGAGCGGGCGAGACAGGAGGAGGAGGCCGAGGCGGCACGGCAGAAGGAGATTGCGGAGCGGAGTCGCAGTCGCAAGACGGAGGGGGATGTGATGAGTGCGAAGGAGAGGTATTTGGCCAGAAAGAGGGAGCGCGAGGCTGCTGCGAAGAAGGCGTGATTGTCTACTTTGCGTGTGGTAGATTGCATATGGCTGGCGTTGGATATGGATCCTGTATAGTGTATGATATAATGAATGATTGGCGGTTATACTGGAATGGTATGATTCTTCGGGTACTTAAATGGTAGTGGCAAGCGGACAGTAGTGAGACAATATATTCTTTCGTTACTCGTTCCTAATCATAAGCCTAACGCCAGGAATGCTATCTCTTGACTAAGTGTTCTAGTATAAGGATGCGCTGCATATTGAAATACTTTTTACCACCAACGCCGTTTAGTATGACTATGCGGTCAGGGCGAAACTGAGCCCCATCAGAACCATTCCTCCAATAGCGAACCCAGTGCACATTCCTCGATTGTGAGTTAAGGTAAGACCTTCGCTGAACAGCTGCAGAGCAACTGAGATCATGACGCCCGCCGTCGCGGCAAACATACCGCCGTAGACACCCCAGGACGGGCCAGCGGCGTCGTCGCCATTAGCACGTCGAGCACCCCATATCCAGAGAGCTGCCAGCGCAGCGCCTGCAGGTTGGCTGATGCCACCTAGCAAGCTTGACCAGAACATGGCCCAGCCGCGCGAATGCAGCGCGAGATACAGTGGTAAGGCCATGGCGAACCCTTCGCTGATGTTGTGGATGAAAAGAGCCAAGAAAACCGTGAGACCTAAAGTCGGGCTCGCATGGTTCGTTGCATAGGTGATAAACCCCTCCGGCAACTTGTGCAGCGCAATCGCTATCGAAGTCTGCAGACCGATGGAGAGAAAGGCGTTCTGTGGCACATGGTGATGGTGTTGGGGATTGGGTGGCGGCTTCGTCCCGTCTTCAGGTGCCACATCCTGGTCGTCAAGAAGACCGGTCCGGGAAGAAGAGGAACTCGCCTCTTGACGTCGAATTTGCGAGGATGGCAGGTTTGCCTCCAGATCATCTAGTCGTGCCGAGTCCACTTGCACGGATATGCTGTGGGGGTGCGGCAGCGGCGGGCGCACGGTGCCGTCATCCAGGACAGAGATTTCCGGTCCCTCGAGGGTCTTGGTGCATTCGTGCCCGCACGCCTGCGAGAAGCCAAAACAGGGACCATTCTCATCGCAATGTGATTTGACTCCGCCAACCAGACGACTAATGCGTCGTGTCAAGCGGATATGCAGGGATTCCCTTCGCACAAGTGCGCCTGGGTCTTCACCAGCAGCGGGGACGGTCACAGTGGCCGGGGAAGACTTGTGAGTCAAAAGAGGAGTCCGCTCATTCAGATGGTTAGGGCCGTGGGAGTGTAAATGACCGTCTGGCTTGCCCCCGTGTTCATGACCGGAGGTGGGGTGTGGCTCATGGGTATGAGCACAGTCGACGACATGTGACGGTATGTAGCGATGCAATAGTGCCGATGCCAAACGGATGATGACCGCGCCCGCCAGAAAGAGACCGATAAGCACGTATGCAGCAAGCGAGGGGGACAAGCCAGCTCGAGTCAGGTACCGATGAGAAGTAGGCAGCATGCTATAGAGAGAAGTGTAAAGCTAGCGCGGTCAGCATGGTGCCAAAGTTAGGGTCAACTGGTTAGAGAGGAATACCATGACGCCCGCGCTTAGACTCAGTGACGCAGATAAGAAGCCATTGTTATGGACGATCTGGAAGCTTTTGCGGCGGGACAATCGCCGTAAAACAAGATCCACACAAATGACAGCCGATCCCAAGACACAAGCTGGATTATGTTAGCTAGCAAAACCAAGTACTATACAGAAGAAAGACTTACCCACGCCTGACACGGCGCTCATGACCCAGCCCCGGAGGTCATTGCTGGCAGCCATGATGAATAGAAGGCGAGAATGCCAGCAATCAATGCCAGCGAAAAGACTCTGACGGGGAAGAAAGAACGAGACTTTTTCAAAGGGGAAAGGAAAGAGAGTTTGGGGGAGCCTTGGATTTCATGATATCATGTCACGCGGCGGGCGATTAGATAACCTGGGGACCTTGCGGGCAACAACTCTGCTTTGATCCAAACAGCGGCTTTGTTCCACTTGAACTTCTTTCTTTTTCCTCCCTTGCCTGCAGCCAACGAATCGTGCTTCCACTGCATCTCTGCAGCACCGTTGGAGAGGTTTATCGAGGAGCCACTCGGGCGAGGTTTAAACTACCAGGTCTTAAGGGAGATGATAATACGCTGCTCGGAGCTCGTCCCCCTCCCGAGCCCCTTGTACAACTCATCGCGCCTTCAACGCCCCTGTTCGCTAACCACCAGACTCCAAGGTCCCCAGACTAATTTCTCATCGGGCCATGAGCTGCAGCAATGCAATAGGCCATGGCGAGTCACGTAGCAGTGTGTCTAAACTTACGATATTTTCCCAGCGCCAGCGCCAGGCAACAGCCCTGAATGGCTCGGAGTCCGTGATAAGCGTATAGTAGTATGTACGTCCTCCCTGGAAGTGAGCCCATGCATGCGACGCGCAACATGGTTGGCGGTATGGGAGCTCCAATTCATCAGCTAGAGCGGAAGGCGTAAAGTAGACTTTACCTTGTGGTTCCTGCTCATGAAAATGGTAATGTGATGTAGACTGCCAGCTATCGAGAACTAAACTTCTACTAGACGTCTGATTTACCTCGGAGGCTGAGTTCCATTATTCGAAACTGCTAGCAAATTTCTGCGAAAGGCATCTCTCGTTGTGCAAGCGAATCATCTTTTCTGGAGGCATACGTCCGCTTTGCAGTAAAAATGCATGATCCAGAAGCTGGGGTGCTGTTTACGTTAAATTCCACAGACGTATATAATCATGCGTTCTAGCGAACGAAACGTAGTATCCAGAGAGCAGACACACTCAGCCCTCAACCAGTCCGAAGGTAACCTTAGGTAAATGTTCCATTCCCAACGAGAAGCGCACTCTCGCAGAAGCTAGATGACATAGCGGCGAGGGGAAGTATTTCGGCGTTGCCGGTTGCATTGGCGTGGGACTATGGGGCGTAAGAGGATCTGAGGGCCGCATGAATGGTTGGCGCGAGTTAGCCTAAGATTTTAGTTGATCGTCAGTCACCAGTAGCACTCCAGATTCCAAGAATGACAGCCATACCTCATGATGGCATATCCTTCCCAGTGGTCAATGCCTCTGAGTAGCTTTATAAGCCAAGCCCTTAGGAAGCATTTATAGTTCTTCTTCTTGGTACATGTCAGACCCCAAATCTTGAATCGGAACCCGAAGTACCATCCATTTGACTCTAAATGACGGAGTCTTGAGAAGCAGAAGAGTGTCATTCTTGCCCTGGGTAGTCATTTGTGTATAGCCTGTCAAACCAGGCGAGATAATTGTTGACAAGAGAAGAATATCCATGCTTGCTATCTTTCGGATGGCCAATTGTGTATGACTGACGCAGTGGCTCTCCAGTCCATGACTCTCCTGCAGGCTGATTTCCCCTGCACAATTATCAGATAAGCCTGTACCTGCTGCCACTGTCCGGAGCATATAGAAGTGGTACAAATGCAACCGCATTAGATATCAGACACCTGTTGACAAATCATGAAGTAATTGTCGGAGAAAAGTCAGTAGTCAGGAGAGAAGGAGAAAGCTAAGACGAGCCAAGTTGATATAACAACGTGGATTATGCCCCGAGCAGTGCAACCACGCAAGCCGCGGTTTCGAGAGACATTGTCGCACCGGCCAAACCATCCATGAATAAAGTGCAACGTGAAAGGCACCCAAAGTCTATCCCTCGGCGTCGAGTGACGTACAGGGGGTTCCGTCACATGATGGCAGGCAACCAGCACTAGAAAAGCATCAATTCGATTCGATCGAAGACACTTCCCCTCTCAACTTGGGCTACACAAGCATCAGAATCAACTACTCACTGGCATCGCTTTGCTAGCAAGACAGTCTCCTCAGCTCCAATATAAAAGCACCCTCAATCGCCGCCCCCAGACCGACTCGAGGATTGTTTTCATCTCCATCCTCTTCTCCCTCTATCATCTTTATTTCCAAGCAGGTACGCTCCAAAGCACAACATCAAGCAACCACCATGTCTCCCATCCAATCTCTTGGTAAACTCCTGGTTCTAATTCTCGTCTCCTCAAGCTCCGCCATGTCTCTCACTCGCTACACCGCACCCATTCCCCAGGGCGCGAAGGTGGTCGAGACGCGTGAGCAACTCAACCAAGTAGTCCGGGAAAATCCCGAGACTGTCCTGTACGATCAGGATGGTGGCTACATGTTGAAAGATGAGAGCGGAACCGTGGTTGCCATAGCTGCAGATTCTCTGTGTCCCGAGTTGGACCAGGCCGTGGCTGAAGTCGAGGCCCTGCAAGCAGAGACGAAGCTGGCTGGCAATGCCGGAGACCAAGGTGATACCAATACCAACAAGAGAGACGTTAATGATGTTCAGGACACTAATCGTCCACTTCGTTGTTCTCACCCTAGATGCTTCAATTCCGCCATCTGCCTGACCTATACCGATTGTCACGTCTGTTTGCGACAGCACCACTGTATCTGAAGGGTTGATACTTTACATGGTGGGGTCCGAGTGTTGGAAGGAATCTGGGATAGGGAGGAACTACAAAGAATGGTTTGTGATGGCTGTGTGTTAGTAGACTATTCGGATGAAGGAGGGGTGACATATGTATGCAGGTAACATGCTAGGCAGACCGGGACAGAGGTGATGTTCAATGGCATGTATCTTGCGATGGCCTGGTCCGAGAATGTAATGTGCTTGTCATCTTCTTCGTGCAATATGGGTGTAGTGTTGTAGTAATGTAAGAACGTAGAGGAGCATTGCCAGATTTTCAAAGCATAGCCAAGCGTAGATCATTACTACTCCTGAGAGACGCAAGTCAACCCCAGCATGTCTTCTATATTAGCTACAAGAACAATTATGCGCACCGATTATACATGAAGACAACCTTAAAGCCTGCTAAATACAAGCGACGGAAAATGAACATGATCGTGCCTACAGCCCAGTCACAGATAGACCGCCCATCATGATGGCCATACAATATCCCATGATAGCACTATGTACAAGAAAGACGCATCAACAAGTCAAGAAAATGAGTTGGGCTGCTTTCAGCAAGACATCTTGGATTTCAATTTTCGTTCTCCATATTTCCGTCTTCAGCAAGATGACTTCCAGAACCTCGCCTCAACCCTGAGAATCTCAAGGGATCCCCATATGCAAAAGCTCCTCCCAAAGCTTGTTGAAGTCGTCCCAGGTCATATTCGAGACTTCCTTGGGGGTAGTCCTTGCATAGACGATGTGCGCGTAGTTAGCACCTTCCGAGTTTCGCTTTGAGAGTCGCGAAAGCAGAATGCAAGTAGCCTGAAGAGGCGAGATAAACGTTGGATCCAGCTCGTTGCACGATGAAATTATTCTTGCCAACAACTCAACGTCATCCTTGTATAAAACATGGGGAGCGCTTTGGCTAAAGTCCATCAAACCCCTGTACCGTATCACCAAATTTTTAGCAATGGGAGTCGAGGCGATTTTGAGGCATGTCTCAAATAGGACGTCGGCGTATTTCGTGGCCTGCGGCGTAAAGCGAGGATCGAAGATATACCCCTTTGGTATGTTGTGAAGTATGTAGATTTTGACGCAATTTGATAGATATTTCCAGTTCTCCCAGGTGGAGGAATCGTCCTTAGGAGGATAAGGGAGTTTTAGATTGACAAGGTCTTGTAAATGCCATTTCTTGAGCTTTTCCCTAACTTGAACGTACCACTGATGCACACTGTTAATGTTCAGGTCAAAGTCGATTTTATCTGCTAGTATTTCGTCTTCTGACGTGCTGATTTTCCGGACGATTTCCACATTGATGCGGCGTGCCTGTGTATATTCCATGATTATGGAATGAAGAAGGATGGTGCAAATCACAGACTGTGAGAGAAAAGAGTAAATGGATGATAGATGCCATATTCTGGGGATTAAAGTTGATTACAATACATAGCCTCAACTAGTAGAACGGGTTGATTCAATGCTCACTACTAGGCTGCTCGGGAATTGCCTGTTTAGAGTTGGGATGCTTCTAGATCGACTGCAGGGAATCTCCTGTCCTTCACCGAGCCTTGGCCAGTGACCTTATAGCTGCAGGGAATGCTCTGTGGAGTCCGGGGCATTTCATCATGGTCAGTAGGTCATCTGCACACGGTGATCATCCGACCAGCGTGACATCGAAGCTGGCATAGCATATATAGAAGTCTCGAAGCAGCTGTTAGGGAATTTCCGGTCATTCCTTTTCATCATCCCAACTCACAGACAGTCACCAGTGGCAGTTGTATTCATCCAGACAAGTGAAGACCAAAACTTACCAGTGACACGGTGTTTGTAGATTACCCTTTTGGGACCATTCAGGCTATACTTCCCGATCATCTGATTGCTGCCCGCTGATTGGTCTCCGCTTCAGCATCAATTTTACTCTCTTCGGCAATCCACTTTTTTCTCCGTCCCGATTCTATCCATCCATCTCTTTCATCCTTATCCTCCCTCTCCTCTCCTCTTCTCCTTGGACATCCTCCCTCCCTCCCTCCACCACCGCCAACCATGTCCAAGGCCACCTTCGCGGCCATCGCCGCCGCCAGTGCCGCCACGGGCGCCGGTCTGACGGCTCTCTTCTACACTCCTCGACCCCAACCACAACAGCAGCAGCAACCACTCCCCCAACAACAACTCCCTCCTCACCCTCCGACCACCACCTCCTCCAAACTCCCCGCCCCTCAACCCGCCGCTCCCTCTCTCGCCCCCAAACCCACCCCAACCAGCGGCTCCCCCGTCGACCCAGCCGGCATCTACCAATATGGCTTCCCCGGTCCGGTAGCCGACACTCTCCTCTCGGCGCCCCTAGCCGGCGCCTACGACCGTCGCACACGCAACCCATCCTGGGTGGCCGAACACATCACCCCACAGTCTCTGGCGCAAAAGAACGCCGACCGCAAGGGCAGCACATTCTTCGAAGACACCACGATCCCGCCGCTATTCCGCGCCAAACTGTCCGACTACTTCCGCTCCGGCTACGATCGCGGCCACCAGGTGCCCGCCGCGGACGCCAAATGGTCGCAGGACGCCATGGACGCTACCTTCGCGCTGTCGAACATGTGTCCGCAGGTCGGCGAGGGGTTCAACCGCGACTACTGGGCCCACTTTGAGGAGTTCTGCCGTGACTTGACGAAGAAGTACCCCTCCGTGCGCGTGGTTACTGGTCCTCTTTACTTGCCGCACCGCGATCAGGATGGAAAGTGGCGTGTCTCGTATGAGGTTATTGGAAACCCGCCCAATGTTGCTGTCCCGACCCACTTCTACAAGGTCGTGTATGCGGAGGAGGGCCCCGCTACGGCGGGTAAGGTTGCGCTGGGCGCGTTTGTGCTCCCTAATGCTAGGATCTCGAATGATAAGCGCTTGACGGAGTTTGAGGTGCCGCTTGAGGCTGTGGAGCGGGCTAGTGGTCTGGAGTTTGCGGCCAAATTGGATGCTGGACGCAGGAAGAGACTGTGTCAGGAGGTTAAGTGTGATGTTGTTGTGAGGGAGTTTAACAATGCCAGCAAGAAGAAATAGATCTGGTATGGTGGTGTACATTGAGAGATGGAGGGTGTGTGGATAGTGAGTTGGAAGGGAAGGGTCTCCTTTTGTATTCTAGACTTATCATTATTCCCTTTGCATGGCCTGGGATATCCTTAGGTCGATTTCGGCTCTGTATAGATTGACATTGCATCTATATTGTATACATATTGATCGCACATGATGTGTTTAACCCGGGTCGTATAGATATAGATATAGATATAGACATAGCCATAGCGCTGTCTAGGCAGCCTGTTGATAACCCAACTTCTGCGCCCCAACGCGGGTTTATACACACCCACTGAACCCATCAACCACTCACCAACTCCACGCCAAACCAGACTCGTAAGCAGACCATATCAACACTGAAAGGCAACCCCCGACTTAGTCGCAACATTCCCGCCTCTCCCCGCAAACCCTGTCCCTTCGGAGCTCACCTCCACCAAGCCAGGCCGGATACCCTCCTTATCCTTCTTTTTCTTTTTCCCCGACGACGCGGATTCCTTGTTACTGTCACTTGACGGCGTGACATCCGTCTCGCAGACGTAGCATAGAATTCGCCCATGCAGGGCAGCGGTCTGCTCCTGTTCTTCTTTCGAGGCGTGCGGGTCCGGCGCATCGTGCGGAGTCATGAATTTGTTGACGCATGGTTGGCAGATGACATGGCCGCAGGGTTTCGTAACTGGATGTAGTAGGATTAGGTTAGTATGCGCGTTGAAGGAAATATGCGGTGGGTCAGGCGGTAATCATACGCATTGCTTTGAGCCCGTTCGTCAGTGTTTTCTTGCAGCTTGGGCAGACACGGGCCGGGGAGCCATCGGAGGTCTTTTCTTCGGTGAAGTGCACCTCGACTAAGGATTTGAGGGAGTAGCTGTGGCGGTTGGAGTCGGTAGAAGCAGGGCAAATGGGTGTTAGTTTAATGGTTTTGTTGGCGGCGATTTCGTTCGGGTCGGTGGTGGGTGTGAGCGAGGGGACCCAAAAGGATGGGAGGGCTGATTTGTTTGCTTCCTGGGGATGGTCAGTGAGCTTCTTACCAAGGGGGGATTTGACAATAGTAGTAGACCTTTTCTTTCTTCAGCTCATTCTTCAAGCGTTCCTGCTCCTCGCGCGCAATTCTAGCCATCTCTTTATCATCCAACTCGAACACCTTCTTCCGCTTCCCGTCCACTTCTACCTCTCGCGCTTTGAAAGCAGCCAATGCTTCTGTAGTATCTGCTTTCCGTTTCTTGGAGCTCTCGTCATTCTGTGATTGGCTTGACCCGTTGTTTTTCTTCGCTGCTGCATCTAACCCCATGCTCACTAGTTCAAAATCACGGAGTTCCCGTGTTCGCGCTTCATCTAATGCCCGCTCCTCCTCTTCTGCAAGACGCTTTTTGGCTTCATCGCGTTCCTTTTCAAGGCGCTTGATCTCCTGTCGTTGGGCGAGAAGATCGCTGATGGCGCATTCGCGACAGAAGAGATCTCCGTTGGTGGCGCAGGCGACGACGGGTTCCCGCGCCGGGTGTAGGCAGAGTCGACACGAGCCGAATGGGAGGAAAGAGTCGCGGCCGATGACGCCGCGTTTGGTGCCCCAGCTTGATTTGAGGAGATCGCGCTCGTAGGAGGTAAAGTGTGGAAGAGAGGTGTTGCGCTTAGAGTGCGCCATGGTGGTGATTCTCTGCGGGGGAGGTGGATTGGTTGATGTGAGGTTATGGATGGAGCATCGGCGAGGGAGAAGATATTGCGGAGTGGGGATCGGAGGTCGGAGGGTCGGTGCGGAGTAAGTTATGTGGGTAGATGAGGGGATGAAGCTTCCGGTAACACCAATTCAGATATTCAGCGAGTTAGATATGTGACAGGTCAAGCCAATGGCTAGAACAAAGCAAAACAAGATGGTCAAGAGAGGAGTTCAGTTGAAGGAAAGTTGAAGCTGGAGAAATCGTGGCCGACGCGATTATGTCATGC